TCAACAGCTAGATAAAAAGAACCATAAAAACTGGTTCTTTAATAGAAATGACTTTAAAATGGTTTCAGAAGAGAAATTCTATTTATGTTTTACTTGTTTGTTTCTTCTTCTAGTAATTTAAATTGATTTAAATAATTAAAGCAGACTAATGTTAATAATTAAATTTGCTGGAGATGCAATGGACACCAGTTTTGCCCATTTCTCCCATCCTCTCTCCCCACAGTGTGCAGTCAGCACTCCCACACAGCAGGGACTTGGTACGAACTTTCTGAATGGCCAACTTCCTGACTGCTCAGGCTTTCACTGTGTCCGCTCAGCTTTCTTGCCTTTTAAGGGAAGAAATGTTTACTATTTGCACTGTTCCTGACAACAAGTATTTCCTAGTCTGCTAATTCCTTAAATAAAGCAATTTTGCATGTCTGTTTATCTGCTGAAATACTGTAGAATCAAGAAATATAAGAAACTGTTTCTGCAATAAAAGTATATGCCAACAACTGTGTAGTGCAGCACACATGTGACACTCCATACCTGGCCCACATAAATGTCCACACAAGCAGGCCTTTCAGTCGAAGTACCATCATTCACCCTCAATTTTATGTACCGTGCAACATTTGCTGCCTTACAATTAAGATGCCCAGCCCCAGTGAACACCTCACCGTTTTCTTCAGGAGCCATCGTTAATGTAAGAGGGCACCTGAAGCCGTTTTAAGTCATGAGGTCCTAAACCTCTTGGTCCTCTACCACCTATTCCATCTCCTATCGCCTCAGCAAACCCCTCTCCTTTCCCTACAATGGCAGAAAGAGAAGGAATACAAATTCTTCTACGAGCACCTGGCTCCTTCTGTTCTTACTTTTGTGACACCCACTCACCCTTCCCCCTGGGAGCCACACCAAGCACATGCCGAGGGAGAGACCCCTTTCTGCTGCAGACCTGTCCCCTGGAGCTGCGCGGTAAAGTCCACTGCCCATGGCCACCTGGTTCAAAGTCCCTCTGATGTCACAGCCAAAGTCTCACAGTTCATCTGTATTTTTCACATACTCTGAAAAGACTTCGAAAGGCAAGATTCCTCAGAAACAAATGCTTGTTCATTCACTGTCTAGAGGTTTCTACAGAATTCAAGAAAGTGCACAAGCTATTCCTTCTTCATTTATAGTGCCCAGATACTCTTAAAAAAACATGGGTGCCTTCTCTCTCTGATGTGCAGTCCTCCTGCTGTAAGCATGCTGGGGCAGAATATTTAAGATACATAGCTTGGGGAAAGTTGTCTGGTTTTCTGACAAACCCTTTGATTTACAACCCTGTGGCTAAGTCAGTGCAGGATTTTGGAGAAAGACCAATTCCATTTGCTAACAAGTCTGATACTGAGCCTTGGCATTTGCCAATGACCCCAGACATCATTTGCTTTTAATTACATTTTGATTCTACCATGGGAAAAAATGCACCTCCCTAACCCTTCAACTGCACCAGAATCTAGGTAGACGGTAATGGCTGCCTGGGTGTTAAACTCAATTTAGGCAAAGCATCTTCTCTCAGGGTTATTTTAGGTGGCCTTGATTTTTTGAAATGAAGAGTAGCCAATTTCATCCTGAAAGAATCCTCCCAGCACACCTGATTTTCTTCAAACGTAATTTATTTGCCAAAGGATTCCGAACCTCACAGCAAAGCTGTATAAAACTGAGAAAAACAAGATGATTTAACGTTTCTATTTTTACATGGTGTCCAATTTCCAGAGGGGCTGAGACTAGTGGTTTCAAACTCAATTTAGCATTTAAACTAATTTTCAACCAGGTCTCTACGGACCAGCAATTAGGGAAGGCAAGGAGTTCAAAGAGGGGGGTGGCGGGGGCATGCGGTCTTTCCGGATGTGCTTCCAGCCTCTGCTCCTTCCCACAGACCCATGGGGCAGGAGCACCTGGGGCTTTGCAGTTGGTGTCTGGAAAGGCACCAAGGGCCAAGTGCTTTATTCCTTCTCATAGCTGTCCTGGGGAAGGATCTAAAAACTTCCTGAAGACTGCTGCACACTGCAGGCCAAGACGTACAATGCCAGGGACAACAAGAGAAGAACGAGCCCTTTCAGCTCGCAGAGCCATGAGGGCCTCAGGGCCTGGTCTTCGAGGGAACCCTCCCCCAGCTGGCAGCCCAGGCAGTGGAGAGCACATGCTGGGCCCTGGACACCTGCCTGCTGCCATATTCGTCTGTGGCCACAGCACTCTAAGCCTTGGAGTCTTAATTTTAAAATGTACTTTAGTTTTGTGTGGTGATTGCATTTAAGTAATTTAAGATCATGGCACAAATTTCAAAAGGTACAAAAAGGTATACATTGAAAAGTCTCTGTTTGATTGTCTCCCAGTCACTCAGCCCCCTCCTCAGAAGCAATCATCACGCTTCCTAAGTACCCTGCCAGAAATACTAATGCCTTTGTTAGCTTATCTTCTTCTTTTGTGATTAGCTTTATACAATGGTATCATACTTTTCATGCTCTTCCATACCTTCCGTTTTATTATTTTTACTTAGCAGTACATCTTGGATAATATCTAAGACCCAAGGTTCTTTCCACCCTAACATTTCTTGAATGAGAGAATCAGACCTAGAGTTTAAAGAGTTTACTTCTTACAAAACTGGGTAAATGTTCCCGCAACTACCTTAGCAGAGCCTCTATTTAGAGAGGGATGCTGACCAGGAGAACTCCCTCCTCCAGAACCAGGGCAAGGTGGAGTGAGAGAGAGTTGTCTGCAGCTGCAAGTCTTAGGAATATTGATTTTACCTTTTAGATTTTCTGAAGAGCATGCCATCAGAAGGACAACAGTGAATTTGAGGGAGAAGACAAAAGGGTAAGAAAGCAAACATTATATTAATACTCCTTTTTTTAGAATCCTTAACAGAACTTAAGAGATCAAAGAGCCTGCAGAGGCATCTGCGGATGAGGAAATGGGATCTGAACCCAAGTGTGTGCAATGACCAGCCCAACGTCAGGTACTGAGCTGGAGAGAGGGGTCCTGACTCCAGCTCAGGCAGTCTGGGGTTGTGCCCTGGGCTCCTCCTTGAGCAACAGCCTCCTGTCTCCTTCCTCCTGCCTCAGCCCCTGGCCTCAATGCCCGAATTTTGGCTGTTTTGCTGCTCATTAGTGTCTCCCCTGCCGAGTGAGCAGGAATTTGAAAAGGACTCTGCTGGCTTAGTTGATCTTCATAAAGGTTCAGGGTGAGACTGGGGCTGGTGTTCTTGGCTCGCATGAGTTTTCTAAATTATCTGTGACCATTTTTATATATGACATTCTTACCTCCCATCACCAGAGATAATTTAAAAGCTGGCTAGACTGTACTCAGAGGAAGCCAAATGTACGTATGAAAATCATGTTTCCCGGCTGCTATCGCACACCAAAGATTTCAACAAAAGTGCTATTTAGCGGCAACATTCAACACAGATTCTGGATAATGCTACCAACTAGAAAGGTCCCATGATGGAAATGGAAGCTCATTACTCCTCCATTTTTCCAAAAACCAGGCCTTCACCCACACGCCACAATGTGGAAGATTCTTTTCTTGATGCCTTCGCATCAATGTGTGGAACAGTCAGAGCTAAGGCCCCCCTGACCTCACCCATCCCCAGAGGAAGCCTGGAAGCGGGCACGACCGTGGCCTCCTGCTCATTGCCCTCACTCACCTTTTCCTCCTCAGTGCCTCTGGCGCTACTGAGGTGAACACATTGGACCTGGCTCCTGTTCCCCACGGGGACTGCCCCCCGGGGCATGATGAGCAGGACAGCGAGCTACCTGGGTGCGGAGAGCCCAGGGAGTGCTGGTTCTGAAGCCCACAGCCCTCAGTTGGCCTCACCTCACACCCAAGACCACCCCTGACCAGTGCCCAGAGGAAGCAGCCTCTGCCGAGTGGACTCAGCAGATTTCCCACAATTATAGTAAGAATGACTTTCATCATAAGAGTTCACAATAGCACAGCTCAAAAGATAACACTGAATGGTCTTTGGCAGGGGAAGTATTCTGTGATCTCTCTACTAGTCATGAATGATCTCAAAGGGCTAAGAAGAAAAATGAGTTTTAAAAAAGTGAATAAATTGCCAAACAAAAGTCAAACAACACCCTTCAATTAGCATTGCTGTTCTAGAGAAAACTGCCTGCCACCCTGGCCCACCGTGATCAGAGCCCCGCACACCCTCCCTGCCTCAAACATCCCTAACTCCTGTAGTGGAACCAACTGTATTACATGCTGACTCAAATTCTGGGCCCATGGGAAGAAAATACTTTGTGAAGTTCAAATAGGATTATTGGATTATCATTCAAGAAAAGAACATTTTAAGGTTTGAATTTTTTCCTGACCCCCTCCATTCTCCCTTCTGATCACAATGACTTTACATTTAATTTAGTAAAGCATGGGGTCTGGAGAAAGAGGTTTGGGTTCAAGTTCCACTGAAACTAACTGGGTAACCTTGGGCAGGAGGCTAACCCCTTGAACCTTAGCTGCCTCTTCTGAGGGTGGAAGTATCTGCCTCTGAGGGTTGCTGTGAAGTCTGAAAGCAGTACTGTGGGTGGGAGATCATCATGCTGTCTACAACCCTATGTAAACAGCACCGCTGCTGTTCCCCAGAGCCTCCCCACCTCCTCCAGGTTTTCATGCTTTCCTCTTAGAATCACAGGAAATGTTCCTAGAGTGTTAGAGTTGAAAAGAGCCTCAGGAATTTTCTAGGACCACCACCCGAGACCCTACCACACCACCAGAATCACCAACCACGTCAAATAAGAAAATTAAGGCCCCACCCACAAAGCAAGTTGGTGGCTGACCCAGGTCTCCTCACTCTGGCTATGTGTCCCTCCCCTGGCAGTCCTTTGAGATGCCTCTCACTGCCCAGCGGTCCCTCCTTCATGACTCAGCTCTCTCTCTGTCATGGGATCTCTTGGACCCCATTGACAAAACATGCCTTTAGGTCCCTCATTTTACTTCACGAAGAGCAGGGTGCAGGGCCCGGAGGGCAGTCAGCTTTGGGGTACCTTAGCATTCTGCAGAGGGGGCTGGTAACTGGATGGCCGGTAGAACGTCCTCTGAGAGGCATCAGTGTGGATGTCACCAAGAAAGAGCTCCTCCACCAGGCGGTCCAGGTGGTGCTGCAGGTACTGCTTCTCCACCCGGAGGAGCTGCAGTTCGTGCATGGCAAAGTTCACGGCCCTGGTGCACTCACAGCCATCTTCCTCCTGCAGTAGGTCGTAGGGCACGTCTTGTACCCAGGCACCTCCAGCAGGGACAAAGCCAGGGCACGTGCGGTTCACCAGCTGGCTGAGCGTCTCGGCAACCGCCTCCGTGTGGCAGATGACCTGCACACTGTGCAGCTGGTAGTCGGCTTCTGTGCCCCCACGGATGATCCAGGAGGCCTGGCGCAGGCGGATCTTGCCTCGGATGATGAGGGTGTAGGTGGGGCTTGTGCAGCGGTTGCCACCATAATAGAACTGGTAGGCCTTGAAGGTATTATTGTGGTAGAATCTGTAAGACCTTGTGATGAACTCTGGACCTGACCTCACTTCACAGCTGAAGATGAAAAGGGGAAGAAAGATTTTTTTAAGCCCAAAGGCATGAAGAAGAAACTCATTACAGTGTTAAGAATGACAGTGATAATAAAATGCGTACAGTGTTCTAAATCCAGTATAGATACAAGTTTATTGATTTTTCACAATAACCTATGAGTTAGGTAGGTATTATTATTGTCCATATTTTATAGGTGGGGAAACAGAGGCACAAGAGATTAAAAAACATGGCCAAGGTTATATACCCAGCCAGTATCAGAGCCAGACGGTGAACCAGAGCAGTCCGGCCCCAGCACCTACGAGCCTAATCAGTCTACACCAGAAAGCCTTTCAAGTTTATGAACAATCCAGGAGGACAGAAACCTGCCATCAGCAGTTCCACCCATGGTCCTAACTTACAGAGAAATCTCTTCTGGTAGGAAAAAGGAAAAAAGAGTGTAATCCTGGCCTATGAAAGAGGTTCCCTTATGCAAGTTCAAAAATGACTGATTTCCTGACAACTCCTGCTTTATGGACCTTCTCTAGAGCAGGCAGGTGCTAGATGTCCATTGTCCTGCAGTGTAACCTAGTCTCGGGGAGGCATCACTTAAAGGCCATCAGAAATTCGCCTTCCCATCCAGTCAAAATCAATTTTCCCTCTAGAAAGGAGGCAATTAGTAAAATAAAGCTAATGTAACAACTTTAAGGGTCCATTTGTTTTATGTTGTTGACAACAACAAAAGGTTTTTCGCTGTGGTGTGAGATAAATGCTAGATTCCTAGGCCAGAAATACTTGGATTGGGTCAATAGAGCGCAAATGGTTCAGTAGGTTTTAACTTAGGTCTGTTCCTTACAGTGTTCCAATTGTAATCACTTCACAGACATGTAGCACAGTCCACACTAGGCAAATGATAAAGGTTTTCTTCAATGTGTTGGCCAAAGAATTTGTCCATTCCTTTTGCTAAATCCTAGTCTCAATATTATAAATTTTATATTTATATTATATACAATGATTCTGGTTTGAGTTGTCTCAGCATTGCTAAATCAAATAGTGGGGCTTGAAATCCCAAAGGCCAGAGGTTCTCTAAACTGTTAACATTTCCATTTTTAAGTTAAACTGGTAAAAGATAAACACGATTTTGAAGTGGGTACCTTTCACTAGGTAAAGACTGTCAACTGATGTCAAATAACACCATATGGACATAAAGCACACAGCAGTACTTTGAGCATCCATCATCTGTGAAAAAGGAGGGAGAGAAGAACCAGGATTTCTCCTCCGTGGAAAGATAATTTTAATATGAGTAGTGATTACTATCCCTTGAGGTTTAGCTAAGATCACTTATTTTTAATATTAAATGCTTTCATATTTTATTTAAGCACTAACGGTCTGCTGATTTGACCTCCGGAGTTCAGCATAGGTCAAGTCCATCCACTTCTCCATTGGCCCTGCTGCCCTCCTTACCTAAGTTTCCTTCATCTCAAGTGTTAACTGTTGCAATTTCATTGGTCATCCCCAAATCATTTTTTTTTCCTTTTTAAATTTATCTTTATTATAATGTATTACAGATGTTTCCCCCTTTCTCTCCCCTTGACCCCCTCCTCCCCGCTCCCAACCCCCTCCTGCCTTCCCCACACTATTATAGGTGTCCATTGGTTATGCATATATACATAGAAGTTCTTTGTCCCACCTCCCCCCTTCCTTTTGAGGTTCCTCAGTCTAACAACCAATTTGTACTTCTTAATCCTTTACCTTTTCGCCCATCTCCACATTCCCCTTCCATCTGGCAACCAACAAAAAGTTCTCTGTATCTAGAAGTCTGTTTCTGTTCTCTTTGCTCATTTTGTTTGTAGATTCTGTTGTTGACAGGTATGTATTTATCGCAATTTTATCATTTATATTTTTTATCTTCTGCTTCTTCAAGAAGATCCGTCAACATTTCATATAATTCTGGTTGGTGGTGATGAGCACCTTTAGCTTTTTCTCATCTGGGAAACTATATGGTCATTGATTCTAAATGATAGCTTTGCAGGATAGAGTAATCTTGGTTGTAGGTCCTTGCTATTCATCACTTTAAATATTTCTTGCCACTCCCTTCTGGCCTGCAAAGTTTCTTTTGAGAAATCAGCTGATAGTCTTATGGGAGCTCCCTTGTAGGTAACTAACTGCTTTTCTCTTGCTGCTTTTAAGATTCTGTCTTTAACCTTTTGCATTTTGATTATGATGTGTCTTGGTGTGGGCCTCTTGGGGTTCATTTTCTTTGGGACTCTGCTTCCTGGATTTGTATGTCAGTTTCCTTCACCAAGTTAGGAATGTTTTCTGTCGTTATTTTTTCAAATAGGTTTTCAATTTCTTGCTCTCTCTTCTCCTTCTGGCACCCCCATGATGTGAATGTTGGTACACTTGAAGTTGTCCCAAAGATTCCTTATACTATCTTCATTTTTCTGAATTCTTTCTTCTTTTTGCTCTTCTGATTGGGTGTGTTTTGCTTCCTTATATTCCAAATCTATGATTTGCTTCTTGTCTTTGCCCACTCTACTATTGATTCCCTGTAAATTAATTTTTATTTCATTTAATGTATCCTCCATTTCTGAATGGTCTGTTTTTATGCTCATGAGGTCCTCAATAAGTTCCTTGAAATTCTCACTAAGTTCATTGAGCATCCTTATAACCAGTGTTTTGAACTCTGCATCTGTTAGATTGCTTATCTCCATTTTGTTTAGTTCTTTTCCTTGAGTTTTGTTCTGTTCTTTCATTTGGGACATGTTTCTTTGTCCCTTCATTTTGGATGCCTCCTTGTGTTTGTTTCTATGTATTAGGTAGAGTTGCTATGTCTCCTAGGCTTCCTAGGGTGGCCTATTGTAGTAGGTGTCCTGTAGGGTCTAGTGGCATGGCCTGCCTGACCACCCCAGATGGGCACATGAGGTGCACTCCCTATGTGGACTGTTCAACCTTCTGTTGTAATTGAGTCTTGACTGCTGTTGGCACATCAATGGGAGGGATTTACTCAGGCTGATCATTTGTAAGGACTGGCTGTGCTCACTGCTCACTAATAGCTTGGAGGATCTGACCATCTCGGAGGATCAGCTATGCAGAGGCCTACCCCACAGAACAAGATTCACTTCAGCAGGGCTCTGGTACCTACTGAGGTGTCACTTGTGAAGGTGGTTGGGTCATGGTGCTTTGAGGTGGTCTGAAACTATCTACTGGGTGTGTTGCCTTTGGGGCCTCCTTGGAGGTACAGGCCAAGGTCAACCATTGCCTGTGTTCTTCCTGAGAGCCACCAGGTATAAGCTAGAAAGTGATCTGCAGATGGCTGCTTCTTGTGTTGGACTTGGAGGTGCCCAAGAGAGACTAAGCTGTGAACCAAGGCTGGCTGCTGCTGGTGCCATGCCTGGGCCACTTAGTGAAAGGTATGGGGCTCACTGAGGCCAGATGCTGCTTGTTTGAGAGAATTTAGGAAAATCTGAAGCAGGAGCTAAGACAGGCCAACTCTATGGTAAAGCCACTGGAAACAGCTTGGGTGGGCTCAAAAGTTGGGTGGGGCAGGGCCTCAGGGAATCACCAGGGTGGGGCAAACAGTGTCAGTCAGGTTGCTGGAGTCCCAGATATGGCGGCCTTCTGACTGCCCCATGGGGGAAGGGCTCACCAGAGGAACAACAGCATCCACCAGCATGTCTGTCCAGGAGAAAGCTGCTTCTCTAGCTCTTGCTCTGATGCCAAACAACTCAGTTCTTCCCTGTATGTCTCTGGTGCCTTTCAAGCTGCCTCCCCTTCTCTGGAGCCCAGAGGGAGCAAGTCTCAGTAAGTCTGTGTGTGGGCCCTTTAAGAGGAACTGCCTGGGATTCCAGTAGCCTCAGCCTCCCTCAGCCTCAATCCCTACTGATTTTTACAGCCAGAGTTGTGGGGACTTCTCTTCCTGGAAGTGGAACCCTGATCTGGGAGGTCTGGTGTGAGACAGGGACCCCTTACTCCTTGGAGAGGACCTTCACAGCCCAGGTATCCCTCCTAATTTTTATCCACCACACATGGGTGTAGGACCAGCCCAGTCTGTGCTTCTGCCCCTCCTACTGGTCTCAATGTGGTTTCTTTAATTTCGTAGTTATAGGACTTCAATTCAGCTGATTTCAGGCAGTTCTGAATGATGGCTGTTCTGTAGTTTAGTTGTAATTTTGATGTGGTTGTGGGAGGAGGTGAACACCACATTTACCTATGCTGCCATCTTGACCTGAAGTCCCAAATCTCTTTTTCTACCATCCTTTTGCCATACAGCAGAGTTGAATTATGTCTTACGCATGGCCCTTGTTGAAGACTCTTCAATGAATTCTCTTAGATTAAAAGCTAAACTCAAAGAGAACTGGCTTGCAAGGTACCCTGGACGCTGACCATGCCCTCCTCAGCAGCCTCATTTGGAGCTGTTCTCCCTGGTGTATACACCCTAGCCACAAGGGTTCTGCATCAGTGGTTTCTCCACTCAAGGCTTTGCTAGTTCTTCCAGATGGAAAGCTCTTCCCTCAGTCTTTGCACAGCCAACCACATCTCAGCTCAAATGTCCTCTTCTTTGGTAACCTTTCCTAACCTCACCCAATCCTAAAATAGGGCCCCTGGTATTCTCCTTTAGCACCTGTTGTTTTTTTTCCCTCATCATAGTACTTCTTTGTGTGTTTATTTGTAAAATTCCTGAAGACAAGAACCATGTTTGTTTAGTTCATTGTTATAAATAAAAAATCTAGAATAATGCTTGGCACACAGTTAATATTTGTATATTCAATAAATATTTTAAAAATAAAATAAATTAAACATAAATTATTTAAACATTAAACATCACATTAACATTGTTCAAATATTTATCATGTATTTATTTTGAGAAACCCCATTTTTATGAAGAAAAACCTCAGGGTCTTCATCATCTTATAAAATTCCTTTTTATTCTTCTCCATATTTATTTGATCCCTCCCCAAGGTACCCAGAGGCTGCAGGGGAGAAGTGATCAGATCCCAGAGCTAGACTTGTTAATTCTCAACAATTTAATGGGTAGGAGAAAAACTGCAGGTCTGCTTCTAGGCTATTTTTAAAAGCTATAATGGAAGATAAGCCAGAGCTCAAACTGGGATAAATCTCAGCTCCACAGCCTGGAAAAGAATCCAAAAACTACAGCCTGGCTAGTAGAGGTAGCTTGAGAACCTTTTAACTTACTCTTAGAACCATGAGCCATATATTAAATTACCAGAATATGGCTGGAATATTTAGACCATCAGAAACTTGCAAGTCATGTTTCAGGGTTGGCAAAACACAGAATCCTAATTTCACTTGCTAATGGATTCTTTTTGTACAGGAGTGGTCCCGCAGAGTTCAGTAAACAAGGACCTATTCACTCACACCCTGTGGTTAACAGTGGTGCAATATCATCTCTGCTTTAGCTATGATTTCTGAAGTACTTAGCTATTTCTTTACCAGCCAGCATTTCAAAGCATTGTTTCACTCTTAGTTAGAATTTAGACAACACCTAAATCATTGTACATTATATAAAGTCTATATGTATCTGATAAACCCTAAGAAAGGCCTTCCATAGTTGTGTGCTCCCCAGACCCTCCTGTGCCCTTCCTGCCCTGGCCCTCTTACCCAGTGGACACCCAGTGGCCCTCGATGGCTGGTGGCATTTGCACAGTGATCCTTGCACCATTGTGGAGATGTTTGAGCATGTGATGACACTGTGATTCCTTGAATGCCCTCCAGGCACTTTTCTCTAAGGACCTAGGATGTGATCTGCTATCTGGATGAAGGAGAGCAGAACCTTCTCCCAGCCCTGAAAAAGAATAGTGTAAGTTAGCAGAAAGGTGGGTAATAGCAGACACGCATCAGGCTGAAGATCCATCTGTGGTAGGAAAATCAGTGCGAGTGAGAAACACACACCTACGCCGACCCCATCAGACTTCATCACTGTCTCTGCTTTCAGAAATACAGTCCAAAGTGGGAAGTGTCCTGGGAGATCATTATCTAGGTGAGAAAACTGAGGTCCATGGAGATAATGAACATGGCTTTGCACGAGGTCACTTGGCTGGTTGCTAGCAAAGCCTGAGCTCCAGTCCATGCATCTATGAAATAGTAAAACTCATGCATCTAAAGGAGCAGTTGTGCAGTGAAGACAAATTAATGTCACAGATTAGAGAGAAATGGACATGTTCTAGAGACACCAAAGAGGAGATGGGGCTGAAGGGAGAGGTAAGATAGGGGTTGTCAGAAAAGGTGACATGAGCAAGTGGACATTTAGGTGAGGAAGAGAAAGAGTGAGACCAGCCTTTGTGAAAAGGGAACCTCGATGGAATGGAGAAAGCCCATGGAACAGCTGCCAAAACTCCCAACTGTGGTCTGTCCCCTCCGGTGACTCATATCTGCTCACACCAGGTCTCGCATCTTCTGGTTTCTCAGTCTCCAAATGGAGGCCCTCTTAGTAGTGCAAGGCCTACACCTGCCCTAAAATGGAGGCAGGGCACGACATTTCCCCCAAGTATCTTCCAAATCTGACTCCTTCTCACCCCCACGAAGTCAGTGACTAAATATATAACATAGAGTTTAAAATTAAGAGTGATTACAAGAAGATTACGCATTTTTTATTTCCCAGGGGTAAAGGAGTGCTAGGCCCAAGGTCATTTCCAGTGTAAGTCCTTTATCCTACAAATAGTTGTAAACGCTCACCAGTCCAGTGTTGAGATTAAAGCAATGAAAACAAATGGAGTTATAATCGGAAAGCCCACTGTTTCCTTTGAGATTCACTCCTGAAGTAATAAGCTAATCAATAGGTCTTTATTATGGACCTACTACATTTTCAGCACCTTTTTGGCAAAAAATACACTAGTTAGCCATATATACAAAAATAAAATTTAAATATATGTAAAATAGGTGAAATGCACCTATTAGAATGCTACCTGAGGAGGCAATTATACATTTTTAAATCAATATCTGAATAACTTCATGAAGAAACCATGGTTTATCACAGATCTCTTGAAAATGGAAAGTTAGACCCAGAATACAGCGACTTACACCAACATGATAAAAATCTACTAAAGAAACTCAGACCTGTGAGTTGATAACATGCAGACATTTCTAAAATATGCAAACATTTGCCAAGATTCAGAGCACTGACGTCTATCAAAGGTCTTTTGAAAGTTTCATCAAAAGCACTGAGAAGACAAGTCTCCAGAGGGGAAACCTCAGGGTCTTCCCCTGAGTAAAATGATGCCCTGGGATGGAACAATAGCCTCCCATTGTTCCTGCAAAGCTTAAATGAAGGGAACAGCAATGAGGCAAAGACACTATGGATATGATTCAACTAAATGAAAATTGTTAAAAGAGAATGTAAAATAAAAAAATAAAAATAAAAATAAAAAAGAGAACGTAAAATAATATGATTGTTTCGTGTTCGAATTAAATGAAATCTTACCATAGTTTAGCCAAATCAGGTGATTCACACCTGAGCTACAATGAAACTAAGAAATCTGTGCCTGGTGGTGTCAATATTAATGTTTGTAGCTATGAAGGGAGGACCTCCTGTCCTGTGGCTTCCCACAAGGCCCTCCAGTTAGAGTGGTCTCCTGGACGGTCTCTCCCCACCCCTCCTTCAACCCTTCCCAAGTGAAGTAGTGTGTTTGATGGAGAAAACAAGTGTGTTTGATTCATTTTTCTCTTTATCTTTCAAAACCAGCCTGTTTATAAATTACATGCATTTTGATCAGCTCTCCATCAGGAAGTAAGGACTCTGCCCCTTCAGTTGTTGGGCTATCACACTGCATCAGGTGGAAATCCAGGGGTGAACTACTAGCAACCCTATCATAGACAGCTATCTATACCGTGTCTTCTGATCAAGTAGTTATCATGATTTCTAATGTTTTAATTTCTACTAGCCTGTCACCTATGTTGATCCCTCAGTTAGCTCTGAACTAGAGTAGAGAGAAGGGTACTAGTCACTGTACTTCCACCAACCCCAATAGTTATAATTATTTTAATGATAGGAAGCATTTCCCGAATTTCTTGTTAAGCAATAAAAGAATAAAACATATACAACTTGCTGTCCTGTGATCAATTATGATGTGGCTGACTTAAAATAGATTTTAATTCAAGTCATGAAGCATTGAAAATTGGGGAAGATTCTACTGTAAATATGATACTAACTATCAGTAAAGATGCCATCAACTCACTGTCAACAAAGCTATGTTTTAAAAATTGATTTGTAAACCCCTTTACACCCTGCAAATGTTTTCCTGTAAGGATAGGAAGCCTGGAGGATGGTGGATATGAGTGAAATCTCCAGATCTTGGCAGCTTGAGTTTGAAATTGGAACTACCACTTAAAGGATTTCATCCAATCTAAAACTTCAATGATTAAGATACATCATTATTTTATTACCAGAGGCAAAAAAGCACTTGCATCTAAATGATGACACAGTGCAATAGTCTTGAGATACCCAAGAACCCTGCACAGCAGCCTCTAGTTGCTTTGACATTTCTTTTATCTATTAAAAAAGATGTGGCAATGTCTTGCCTTTATTTGCATTGTTCAATATGCGACAGGTAATCCCTTTGCTTTACACATATCTCAATAACAAAATGCAAACACATCCTCATCTTTTTGTGGATATCTTTCTTTCTAAGAAATTGATTGTAGTCATATGAGAAAATATCAAATTGAAATTCTTCCCCCAGTAATCAATATTTGCTTCACTAATGTCAAATGACATTACACTGCACTGTCTGCCCTGGCCAATTGGAGCATCATCCCATGCATCAAAGGGTTTCGGGTTCAATTCCTGCTTAGGGCATATATCCAGGTCGTGGGTTTAATCTCTGGTCAAGGCGCATACGGGAGGCAACTGATCAATGCTTCTCTCTTACATCGATGTTTCTCTCTCTAGAATCAATGAAAAACATATCCTTCGGTAAAGATTAGAAAAAAATAAAGAAGCCTGTCTGATTTTCACAGTGATTTTTCTTCTGTGCTGAGAGTATAATTTATAACAATTATGGAGGAAAAACCAAGCATGCTTGGCTCAAATGTTTGCTCTATTTTCAAAACCAGCCTCTTTGCCACTATACAGAAGACACAGAGCACCAAGGATACACATAAAGGGAGTGAGTGACCTGATGACACCTGTGCATGATGTGATGAGCAGCTGTGTCCAGGCAAAGACAGTGGCATCTCTCATAACTGCTGTCTGCAGGCTAACAGGGACCAGAACCCCCATTAAGGTATATATCCATTGCAAAGATCTTTAAAAAAATACACACACACACACACACACACACATCTTACCACTGATGAAACACACTACTAGCACTGTAACTTTAAACTACTTAACCTCTCCAAACTTCAATCTACTCATCTGTAGAGAGGAAATAACATTACCCATCTCTTAGGGTTGGTCTTAAGATTAACTGAGATTGTTTTCTTTAACACAGGGCCTGGCACACAGTTCTCATTAAAGGTTAGCTGTTGTTATTTTAAATAATAATCAGACTCTCAAAAAGTCCTTCCTAGCTAATAGTACAGTTAAAATGATGGTAAAAGTCATCCAGAGCCAGGCTCACTCTGAGGACAGGGTGCTCAGAGTAAACACACAGGGCTCTCTGGCAAAGTTAACTGGTAACCCTGATGTAGAAAAGGGTGGGACCCAAAGTACCAGTCTCTGTGGTTATTGACAAGTTCCACTCAGTTTAACAAATACCTATTCACTGTTACTTCATATATTTTAGAAGCCGGCAGCCCAAGGGAGAATAAAGATGAGTTTTTCTGACCTTGAGGCTCCTAAGGTGTCACTGACCTAAATGTCAGAGAACGAGGGGAGAGATGATGAAGGAGCTCTGGGAGGAAAGCTGGAGTTCAAAGGCAGAGGAAGAGAGGTGAGGCCAGGATGTGCATGGGTCATGCATAAGGCTAGAGTCACACAGGAAAGGAGCCTACAGTTATGTTTTTCACCCAGGGGTGGAAAAAATAAAATCCAAGAGTGACCAATACACAATCATTAGAAAACAGGCAAAAATATAAATTACTCAAGGTTTCTAAAGTCAAATCTCCATTTCATTATTGCACTTATTAGAAAATAAGCAAAGCACACAAACCTGACAGGGCTGTCAGTCCAGAGGATGCCAGAGTGAGCAATCAGATGAAGAACAACTCTGCAGTTAGCACAGTACTTGGGACAATGTGATTTCAGGTTTACACTCTAGGGTGATACTGTATTTTCAAAGTGGAAGAAAGTGGGGTTGATATTTTTTTCCTTTTTATCTTTTCCCTTCAAAGGCCTCACCACCTTGATTACTCTTAGGGAGAAAAACTTAGGTCAAGTAAAATGAGGAGTGTCTATAGGTAGGAGAAAGTGTCTCTTAGGTCTGCAGTTAACCGACAGTGGTCTCCAATATTTACATGGCTCTTCTGGTGTGGAAAATGTGGACAGCCACCTGGTCAGTGCGACTCAGTTGATTGGAGCCTTGTCCTGTAGACCAAAAGGTTGTGGGTTCAACTGCCAGTTGGGGCACATACCTAGATTATAGGTTTGATCCCAGGTTGGGGCACGTGCAGGAGGTAACCAGTAGATGTTTCTCTCTCACAGGTATGTTTTCTCTCTCTCTTATCTATTTCAATAAACATATTTTTTTAAAGTAAAAAAAGAGAAAATGTGGACAGCCTACTTATGAGAGCTGAGAATCAAAAGGTCATTTGAAGCACCAAGTTCAGCTACAGGAGAAGCCAAGTGTAACAGCTATATCTCTATACCCTTCTCTGGATCAGCCATGGTAGACCCTCCACAGAGGC